AAACTCATTTTAATGATAATTAATTATCCGAATTCTTATCCGACTTGATTTTTTACGATTTGAGGATATTTAGGAAAAAATTCGTTCACCTTGACATTTTCTAACGCCGCCGCGGTCCTGTTCGTGAGAGTACTACAAGAGAAAATGCCAAGAAAAAATTTATTAATAGTCTTCTGCTTGTTTACACACCGGTTCTATTAACACAAATATCATAATCAGTTAGAAAAACCTATACCTAGTGTTGATATATACATACTTTCTACAAACAAAATTTCGACTCTTACATAAAGAATACAATTTTATAAGTTAAACATTTTTGAATAGTTATTTTCAATGGGTAGGATGCATATGCACATTTTTATGTTGTAAGGTTGCATCTATAAATTATTACTGTTTTATAAAAATTCCTAGAAAAAATAGTTTGAATTTAAATTACAGAGGCAAATGGCATCGACTTAAAAGTGGACGTAACATATTGCATATGTTTGCATATTTCACATAAGGTTTTGCATTATTCAACAAAATATTTTTTTAATAACAACCTTGAAAATATTTCAGGTGAAAAATAAATTATATACATATACTATTAACCTTATTTTTATGAAAGCGTTCAAAATTTGTAGGTAGTTTAATTGTTATTTTATTTATTTAAATCAAACCAATGCAAGACTTCCTTGTCAATTTACAATTATGATTTTAACACTTTAATGAAATAACTTGAAATATTTAGTATAAAGCTTTAAAATATAAATCATGGCATTTTCCCGTTCTAAATGCGATTTATTTTTATTAAATACATAATTACGAACCATAAGTGTCATTTTTCATAGTCATAATTTTCTTCGAAATTAAGGAACCTATTGTATAAATTATTTAATTAAAATTATTACCGTTTATATGTAAAATTTTTACAAATACACATAATTTCTCTTCGTAGTGCAAGTATCATTGTTGTCTACTGTTATATTATCGGGTACACTTTAAAAAGCATGTTGTAATAACTGATGTTAATTCTATCTTCGCTTTCTATGCATAATAATACACAGAATAGATTGAATTACCTAACACACATTAGAGAACAAAATTGTGGCTATACAGTTAAGGTGTGTTTATTTGAACGCATAATTAGGGTTAATTATTTTTCTTTGATATACAGGGTGTTTGTAAATAAGTGCGAAATATTTTAAGGGGTGGTTGCCGAAGCTATTTAGTGAAAAAAGTTCATATTCATAAACATAGGTCGAAATATGCTTCGTTTCTAAAATATAATGTTTAAATTTTAATTTTTTATTTATTTTTATTAATTATTTCATAGAGTTTTAAAGATATTGACTCGAAATTTGAAAAACCCTTTGGAGGGATAAATGTGCATTTTTTGGGGTGATCCAAAAATTTCTACTTGCACCAGTGACGTTCGTGCGAGAATGCCACCACCTTTTTTTAATTAAAAAAAAAATGCCACGCCACTGACTTTTACCTGCTTAGATATTTTTTTAGAAATCCGCCATCAATTCTGAATGAAATTGGGCGCTTCAATTCAAAAATATGTAAAACATATTTTATTGCAAGTTGTGTATTTTTAATTTCTATTGATACATTATCTAGTTAGTAGGTTGCTGTCAATATTTCTAAACAAAAAACTCTTTGAAATAATTAATAAAAATAAAAAATTAAAATTTATCTCGGAAACAAAGCATATTTCGACCTACGTTTATATAAACTTTTTACACAAAATAACTTCTGCAACCACCACCTAAAATATTTCGCACCCTGTATATAAACTCTGCATTGAATTTGGAGCGATATTCTTTCCAAATACGTCGAATACTATGCATCAAACGCTTCAAAAGGCCGAGATAGAATTCTGCACTAACGGTTTGGCCCGGTGGAACAAAATCTTTGTGGACAATGCCCTTGGAATCGTTGTTGTCTTCATTTTTGACTTCTCCAAACGAGATCTTTTGGGTTTTAGCTCGTCTGGCGCCTTCAACTCGACACTTTGGCGCTTGGTTTCTGGATCACCAGTCACAATGTTGTAAAGGAAGTTTTTGTCCTCTTTGGTCTCCTTGATGATGTCCTTCGAATGTTGAATTCTGAGCAATTTTTAGTAGTCAGTCAACTTGTGCGGAACAGACTTTGGGCAAACTTATAGGTAGTCCAATTGTTCGGACAAAATGCGATGAATTGATGCTCTTGAGATGCTCAATTCCACTTCCTTGAATTTCAAGTTCTTGGCTGATATTTGATGAATTCACGTATAGTTTTGATATAATCTGTGGTGATCACGGATGTTGCTCATCATTTATGTGCTCGCGACCGTTTTGAAATCGCGTATACGACTAATGCCACAGGATATAACGAGCGTTCAAATAAAAACGTGGTCAAGTTGGTTCTGAAAATTTGGACGTAGGGCGTAGCGTATAGCAAATGAACTTAAACGTCATCTGTCAAAGCGCTATATCGCCGCTATCAATTTGAATATTTTCGTTTTAAAAAGCGTTTAAAATGGTGTTTTCTCAAGAACAAAAAGTGTTTATCATAGAGTCCTACTTTAGAAATGGACGCAAGATTGATGGAATATGGAAGTATTCTATTGAGGAATGTTTCATAGAATTTCAAAATCAATTTCCCGGCGTTGTTGAGTACAAAATTTTTCAAAGTGCAGTTCAGCGTTGTGTTAATGTTTTTCGTGAAACGGGCAGTGTAACAAGAAAAGAAGGAAGCGGCCGACCTAAAAAGCGGACTGAAGAATTAAAAGAAAATGTCCAACAAATAATGGAAAATGCGCCAAGAACTTCTGTACGTGTTTTATCACAAATGGTGGGAGTATCAGTCGGTACCTGCCACACAGTGTTAAAAAAAATTTGCGTTTGTTCTCCTTTAATTGTTTGTTATTGTTATCACGATTATTCTTTAAAATAAAGTTGTATAGTCATTAACGTTATTGAAACTGACAGCTGCTATACAGCTCGTTGAGAAATGAGTTTAAGTTGATCGCTATAAGCTACTCCCTACGTCCAATGTGTCAGAGCCAACTTCGACCACGTTTTTATTTGAACGCTCGTTATAATCACCATAAACTTGGTTCATCCATTGAAACGTTTCGGTAAAAGTTTTACCATCAAAACAAAACTTAATATTAGCTGTGTTCAATGCTCATTTTGGTACTGATACTGATACTGTCACTTGAGACGCAATAACTCCGGTTCTATTCGTCCTAATGTCATGAAATTTTGACAGCACGTCAGTGAAGGACCTACCATTCAAATGCATGTAATTGCCAATAGATGGCCTCATTAGAAATACTTATTTTTGAAGTCACCTTATACATTTTTATATTTGTATAAGATATATCAATAATGAATTCCGTCAAAGATATTGTTTATAGAAAATGTACCACGATTTCTTTATGAATGCTTTAAAAAAAGACTATTATAACCTACTGTCTGGTCTTTTTTTTAATTATAACTAAATAGTAGTTATTGTTTATATTGCCCACGCTGAACTGCCTAATATTGTTAACGCAACAAATATTAATAATTTATGAACTGGTACCCAATATTCGACCATTGATGGTCCTTAATGTGGCTGTAATAAGTGAAAGTGCTTGAAGAAAAGGTCAACCACATTAAATAACTCATGAGAATAACGTGTGTCAGTCTACATATATTACATAGAGATTATAATTACAGGCAATTTCGGTGGTAATAATTTAAAAGGATTTAAAGCAACGCCTAAAGTGTTCATGCGTAACTTTCCAGATGTTGACCCCAATAGGTCAGATATTTAAATATCGAAAACATATTATTTCAATGCATGTTTTGGGGAGATTTTCCTGAAGTAAAACCTTAAAAAGAAAGATAAATATTTTTCGTATTATTTAAATGAGAATCAGAACTTTTAAAGAATAACAGCACCACAAAAAAGTGGATTGGGCTATGGGCCTAGAAGGCTTTGACCCGTTGAGTCCGACTCTAAAATCGGAATTCCCTGTTAAGTTTGTTTTCTTTTACTGATGAAAAAAAGTATTTCGAAACATTATTAAAATATCTATTAATCTCTGAATACAGAAATCTTATTCAGGTCATTGTAGTAACAATAATATTTTGGTACTTCTGTTAATGTTTTTGTCTGAAGATAAATCAATCGTTATTAGTAACAGCTGATTTCACATCAACGACACTTTAAAATGGTAAAACTAGTTTACACACTTTAGATTACTACACTATACTTGGAATACTATAGTTTACGAAAGTTTCTTACGAGTAGGTAGGTATATTGGCCAATAATAATAAAACGTTAAAATAATTATGATAATCTCAATACTACCTATCAATACGTATAAAAAATTAATGTCACGGAACTGCACATATAATATTAACCTTTTCGTATAGCAGTTCAATTTGTTAAGTTAAATAATCCCTTCACTTTGGTATTTTAATGGAATGTCAGATTATGTCTGTTATGCTATATAATTACTAATTAATGCATAATTTTAGTTTTCATCACTCCATTGTTAAAATGGAATGCACATTCAATGGACGATTAAAAAATTGCTTGAATTCTGTCGTGCTTCCATTTTAATGAGTTCTATACAACATTTTCTTCGATAGAAACATTTGTTTCATATGTATCTATAGGGTGTACCACTTAAATTTCCCACCCCAGTCATCTCGGTTAGTTTTGCAGATATAAAAATTTTGTTGAAATAAAAGTTGTAGGGTTTTCTATGAAATTTCTGTTTGTAGCAAGCAAAAAACAATTCAAATTTAAATGTCGATGTGGCAAATACAACTTATTTTTTTAATGGAACACCCAAAAGTAAGTGCCACATCTGTTATATACTTTTGATCAGAATAAAATTTTACATCTAAAAATGTAATAATTTACAAGGTGGCCATTAAAAAAGTAATGAATACTACTTATATACAATGTTTATAGTACAACGTTATTTTTTCATTACCTCTATTTCTAATTATAAAAATATTCTTCTGTTTTAGTTTACAGTCAGAGGTTCGACCGTGTTCAGCAAAACAATTTTGTAAGAGATTCGCCCCAGGTACCTTTGGCCAGCACAATTTGCCAGGAAAAAAATGGCCGTTATCCTACAAGAACCTGCGATGGGTACGTATTGATCACAAAAATTAAATATGTGTAGCTAGTTGGTAGGACGGCGAAGATCTGAAAAAGCAAGATTTTCTGTTGGATAGTGTAAAATATTTATTAGTAGAAAATTAAGCATGTAGTATTAAAGCAAAAAATTACCAATAAAACACTCTTTCCTGACTGCGCATTAAATGCTAATAAGAGTAAGTTCTGTCCAAAATTTATTATATCGCTAAAACTATCATTAATCATAACAGAGGACGTTATGGGAACAGTTTTTTTACTATATGTATTTGTTCTCTCTAGTTACATAGAATGTGTTGATGGAATTCCCGAAGAAAAACTTTGTCCTGACGGTCTACTGTTCAATCCAGCTGCAGGAGTATTTGCTTTCCCTTGCCAATATCCTATCGATGTTGACTGCACAGGAAGGGAACAAACTCGTAAGTAATATCAATGTTATCAACACACGCGTATTCTTTCCTTTTATACTGTTTCAACTTTTGTATATTGTACATCTATTTTGTTTTTACTTTATTCATTTATTACTCACATTTATTCTTATATAACAATTACTGCATTATATATATTTCAGAACCCCCACAATCTACGGAAGACTGTCCACACCAATTCGGATACTATTCAATCGGCGATCAACGAAGCTGTGGCCAGTTCAAAAATTGCGTAGATGGGAGAGCTTTCATTTTTGATTGTCCTGAAGGGCTCGCCTTCGATGGAGAAAGTTACAGGTGTGACTGGCCTGATCAGGTTCCAACTTGCGACGCGGAAGGTACGGTTTCTTTTTATTTTTAAATGTTTATAAAACCATTACATTTAACCAACTAAATCTAACATTTGCCCATGGGCGTAGCTACAATTTTTGTTTGTGGGAGGGCCCAGGGCTGCAAACTCTATGGAAGAATAAAAAAAAAGGTTACGCAGTTAACGATATGACAAAGATCTTTTTTTCTGGGGTGGGCCGTGCACACCCCTGCTCCCCCCTTACTACGCCCATGCATTTGTCCCCCACTGGTAAGGGTTAAACAATTATTTTCTAAAGAGTAAAACAAACATTTTAATCAGCATTTAGAAATAATTAAATCCCTTAGAGACAGCTAATCCCTGCCAATTAAACTAGATTTAGTTAAATCGTAATCCAACTTCATCGGCTGTTCAGATTTTTAAATTTATCACTGATTGATTTTTCATATAGAACAAAGAACAACTGTTGAAATCACTATACATACAATATTAGTTTCAATTTTTAATTCGTAACTTTTTTCTGTATCTGTCAATCAATTTGCATTAGTCGACAAACGATAAGTTTTTTGAAAATGGACTGAAAACAAAAAAAAATTGTTTATTATATGTAAATACGTAGGTAACCAATACATAACATATGAAACAGAGATTACAATTAATTAACATTTATGTACATCACACCATTAGGTACAGAAAAAAATATATAATAAATGCACAATATTAACATCTGCAGAATAAAAAAATATATTAACAGACAAAAAAATTATCAAAAACTAGATGTGTCTTGATCAATTTGTTTTTTCGTATGATGAAAAAAATTGCATTTTGAACCTTTAAGTCTCTATAGTAGGATCGTATTCGATGCAAAGTAGAGCAAACAGTTGTCGGTCTTTTATCAAAGGAAAATCGTGTCATCATTTTTAGGAGGCGTAAGATAAATCATTTCAAATTTAAAATGAAATTCAATGTAAAATCTGAAATACCGCTGCATACGCACTGTGTTCTGGTAGTAGCTGTAGTTGCCCAGGTGCATCGAGTGTACGAACTGGTCGGTTATACGTCAAAAACTAACCTGGCGAACTTTGCCGTCAATTAGAGAGCGCTTCCAAAAAACAAGTAAACAACAGTGGCGCGTACAGAGGTAAAATGTAGTACATATGTGAAATTTAGGAAACAAATTGGATTTATAATAAATTACATTTAAAATAAATAGTTTATGAGAATAAAGGAATTTTTGTAGGAACAAGGGTGCCAGACCTGAACTGATCCCCTCGTCCCTTCAAAATGTATAAAGAAATTATTCAATTTGTAAAACCCTTAAAAGCGTACTTCATTGGTTCCCTTGACAGACAATGATTTATTACTTTGCATCGAATATGATCCTACTATAGTTTTACCATCTTTTGACATTTTTTTTAGCTATAGACCAGGGCGAATCTGTCGAAATATCCCACATCTTGGATGTAAGAAGGGGCAAGCTAATTTTTGCTGGAGTACCTTCAGTACAACTCACATAATAAAAGTATAGATCCCTAGATCTGGGCGAGGTCCGAAACATTTTCAAAATTGCGAAAATGTTTAAAAAATTTAAAAAAATACCTATTTTATCAGTTTTTTACTTATATCTTGGAATCTATGCATTTTGGAAGAATATTGAAAAGGAAAAAAGTTTTAGACTTGAATTTTGCACCATATACTGTAAGTTAAAAATTTTTAAATTTATTACCGATGTTGCAAAATATAATAATTGATGAAATAAAGGCATAATAATCAAGTTTGTTGGATAATTTTTTTTAAATATTTTAATTGCTAATTTTGGTAAAAAAAGCTTTAGAGTACAATAAAACAACAAACCAAATTTCATTAAGATTGGTTCGTTTCTACATAGAAAAAACCGCTCAACCTTTCAAATGGTTTTTGAAAAATTGAAATCGGTTGATTAGGACGGCCACAGTAAATTTTTAAAATTATAATTTTTGAAAAAAACTAAATTGCAAACTGATAAAAAATGTAATCAAATTGTTTAAAAATAAAAAAAGTGTGGTATTTTCTTAATGGTTTAAACATTTTTGAAATTTTGAAAATGTTCCGGACCTCGCCCAGATGTTCCCTACATCTATACTTTTATTATGTGAGTTGTACTGAAGGTAATCCAGAAAAAAATTGCTTGTCCCCTCTCACATCCACCTCAAAACAGATCCGCCCTGGTCTACCAGGATTATCGAGCGAACGAAAGAAATTCCTCGATATTGTTTTCTCAAATATCCAGCAACTTTTCCTAAAGAATAAAATATCTAATGTAAAATTGTGGCAAAAGTTGAGAAAAATTCTTTTTCATTTTGATAACAATTACATAATGTTTAGGAGCATTAACCTTTGGAAAAAAAAACGATTCGAAGGATCCACTTGTCAACGTAGGTACAGGGTTATTGCGGGTACACTGAACTGTAAATTTTTTTCCCAACATTAGTCTTTTCATTGATAGTTATAAATTAGCGGTAAAACTAAAAAAAAACGTAAAAAGCCATTATTTACACTTTTTTCAAATTAATGTCAAGAAAAAAATTTTTTTTATTCGAAAACGATAAGTCCTTGTAGAGATGTAGATAATTTATTCAAGTTTTCACAACCGCTCCTAGATTTACTGCGCAATAATTTATTGCAGAGATTTCGATGATTAAAGGCAAAAGGTGTCATTAATTTTTTTTTATCGATATCTCGGTAACCAATAGTAGTACAGAGGCCTTTCCAAAAGCAAATTGAAGTTGAATAAACAAACTAACTGACCTCTGCATTAATTGAATTCGAAAAAAAATTCCAGAGGCCGTAGAGTCCTAAAAAAATTTGGAAAAGACTTTTGTCGAAAGATTTTGAAACTATAGAGACTTATATCTTCAAACTGCTTTTTATTTATCTTAACACGACCATTTTTGACTGACATACAGCATTTCAAAAATCACTAAAAAATTTGTGAAATTTTTTTGTTCCCTTAATTTTTTCCAGTAGCGTACATATTTTTTTAAATAATGTATTATGATGGTTGTATCTGAACCACTTTGACTTTTTATTTTTTGAAATCGGACTATAAATAACGAAGTTATGGGTTGGGGCGTTTAGGAGACACCCTGTATGTATTTTATTTGTACATATGTATATTCTTAATTACAATTTAATTGTAAATTAAAAAATGTCAGTTGTCACTGGTATATAGAAATGCATATTATACATATATATTATTTAATACTTTTCATCGTTTAGGTATAATATCACGGCAAATAGAACTTTATTTGCCTCTATTGACGAAATTATCACAATATAGTAAGAGACAAAAAGCTACATACGTGTTGGGATTAATAAAATTTGGGTAATATTGTAAAATTTTATTTATATATTTTTTCTTGTAATGGTGCGATATAAAATATTAATTGAAATCATGTTTCCTTTTTATGTATTTGGATATATTTTGTTAAATAACTGTTTCTTTTTAATTCTGAAAGTTTTTGAATCACAACTAAACGTCGATTATAAATTTAAAAAATATTTTTTAAAAATATCGTCCTATACTGACTAGTATCCAAATTGTTATAAAAATGTTATCAACAAGGCTTCAATTTAAACCAAATTGTTCCTAAATCTACATTGCCATTTTTCTGCATTCAACATTGTGGTTTTCACTCGAATGTCAATGTCCTTTTCTACTTCCATTTTCAATTGGAATTATAAAATTCCATTATTTTATAGTAAATCAAACTTTATATTCATGCAAGTTTACATTTTCACTTGTATAATTTATACAGTAAATATTTCATTTACTATTCTTGAGGTCTTGGTCATGGTTCATGATTATGCAGTAGTAGCTCATGTAGCGCAATGTTTTTCATATATAATTTGTTGGAGAACAGCGTGATTATTCTTGTAGTCCATAGTATTTTCCAAAAGCCTTTAGATTTGCGCAACTTTCCAAAAATGTGAAGTCAATTTCCATACCTTGGTTTCATGGCAGTAGTCAATGATTGAACAATTTAATACTTTCCTATCAACGTACCTTGTACTCTGTATAGCCGTTACTGTAGCTGAAAATATAGTAATACCTCCGAATTTTTTATAACTGCATCGATTTTTCTCAAAATTTAGAATTAGGCTCATCTTACCCCCCCACTTCAAAACTTATATATGCGTTAGGTGTGCTTTTTGTTCTTAAGGGGTGAAAACCACCCCTTATTGCAAAAAAAAAGAAAAAATACAAATTTAAGCATTTTATATAATCAAATCTTTTTATTTGTGCAGTATGAGTAATTGCATGTGATATCTAACATGAAACTTAATGTATCCCAAATTTTCAACACGGAAAAACCTTTAAAAACCACCCCTTTGGATGAAAATAATATAATTTTTTTTTCAACTTGAAACGTTTTAATCATGTATTTTTATCAAATTAAAATTTATTTCTTGATTAAAAAATATTTTTTATTGGTTGCAACTTTTCAACCCTTCTTTCTAAAATAAAATGGAAAAATATTATTGAGAGTAGAAACATTTTAAATGTGCATTCGTATTAAAAAAACATTTATTCGCTTATTATACCGGGTAGGAATGTACCGATGGTCTATCTGAAGTTACGTGAGAGCGATAAAGTAAGCCATAGAAATACATGTGATAGACAAGGATGGGTATAGTGAAGGTGTCTAATTGTCACCGCCCCTTTCGCCCTTCCACAAATAAGAAGTGGATCTTATTTGTGGAAAGGCGAAACGGGCGGTGACTATGAGACGCCTTCATTATAGCCATCCTTCTCTATCGCATGGATTTCTATGGCTTACTTTATCGCTCTCAC